GTGTTTGGGTGGTTGCCCCGGGGGGGGGGGGGGAGACGCACTCAATAAAGTATGGATTTAGAACGAGCGGCTGTGTTTCCTTTTGTGTTGTGGGCCAGTGAAGACTTCTTGCCAACGAGTGATGCTTTCTGTTTATTCAAACATTTATACCCCACCTTTCCTTGTGGTTCAAGGTGGCTTACAAGAACGGTTGAAACATTCTCAGTTCAAAAAGCAAAGAGAACACAGTAAAGCCCTCCCTCGACGCCTGCCAGTTCGGACTCCCACAAAAGCCCTGGCAAACAAGCAGGCCTGGCAGGGCCTCCTTAAGATCTCGGGGTGGGGGGGGGGGCACTCACTTCTTCAGGAAAAGGCTCTGGGCGATGCCAGTCAGGCTGGGATAGCCAGCAAATGGCTGCATGACTTTAGTTGGCACGCAGGGATGTCTGGAAGGAAATAGGTCTTTGGTGTAGTGGTTAAGTGCGCGGACTCTAATCTGGGAGAACCTGGGTTTGATTCCCCACTCCTTATCTTGCAGCTGCTGGATGACCGTGGGAAAGCCGTAGTTCTGGCAGAGCTGTCCTTGAAAAAGAGCAGTTTCTGTCAGAGCTCTCTCAGCCCCACCGACCTCACAGGGTGTCTGTTGTGGGGAGGGCAAGGAGGTTGTAAGCCTCTCTGAGACTCCCTTGGGTAGTGAAGGGCGGGGTAGAAATCCAATCTCTTCTAAAAGCGAGGGATGTCGTTTCGACCTGCAGCAGTTGCTGGGGCAGGTCTCTCTGGGGCCAGGAGTGAGAATTGGCCCTTCACTGCTAGATGGGCAAGGAGTCCTCGCCAACTCCGCTACCATTGCCCTGAGCGACATGATCGGTGGCAAGATCTGCCACAAACAGCCCATCGTATGTAGCTGGAGACAGCGGTGTGCAGTAAATGCGAGAAAGATCTGATGCCGTTAGATAGCAGGGGACCTGCCACTCCTTTGTGCATCTCACCAACCTGTCCCAAAGGAGCCCAACCGTGCAGACGCGAGGGCTGGGCAGTGATGTGCTATACCTTATAGTGGAGAGCTATGCTCTCTCTAAGTTGTGGAGTCCTGTGAGCAAAAATTCTACTTTGTGAGCTGCCGGCATTAAAGTTGTGAGCGAGCAGTTTGGCTGCTGCATAAGTTAGTTGGCTCTGGAGCCATCCTTCCTGAGTGAAGACAAGAATGTGTTAGCCGGAGGCTAAAAACCTGTGAGCTAGCTCACCGTAACTCAGCTTAGAGGGAACACTGGTGGAGAGCCAGTCTGGTGTCATGGTTAAGTGCGCGGACTCTAATCGGGGAGAACCGGGTTTGATTCCCCACTCCTCCACTTGCACCTGGCTGGGTGACCTCGG